CAATGTACTGTTTCCTGAACTTTATTGCTGAAGGAAATTATCTCTATGCCCCATCATCACTGCTTAATTTGCCCATGATTAGTATTGGGCTGTGCAAAAAGCTCCCGCCGTTTTCGAATACCCTGGATTTATTAACTGCTTTGTAAAAGATCAACGGCATAACCTTACAAAGTTAAATATTTTTTTATCTCCTGAAAGAGTAAGCCCTAATATATGTATATCCCTATTCGAAATCTGCCAACATTCCTCGAAGTTTGTTTGTAAAGGTTCGTGTGAAATGGAGGACCATCGCATACATTTTTGGCACCTAGTGCTTTTTTTCTACTGCAAGGGCAAAAACGCAGCTCAAGCCGCGAAAAATATAAGTTAAGTTGAGTGCTCCTCATCCTAGAAATAATTTCCGCCCACGCCCCAACCCCTGTGAGCGGAGACTAGTTGTGCTTGCTACCATCGGTGTTCACATTGTGCCGCCTGCCTACATACGAAACTTGTACTCTAGATCATGAGAACAGGAGTAATGGGTTTCCTGTGGAAAATACACACCGACACACACACGTACACACAAAAAAAAACAAACACACCAACAAACTAAAGGCATAAGCGTCAGTTACAGCGTCACGTATATTAGGGTCGGTACTGCTGGTTACATATACGGCAGGATGCAACAAGACACTGCACAGCACTTTACCATATACCTTGAGAGATCTTCAGTCTTTTCTCTTTTCTTAACTCTAGAATCTTGCTACTAGAGTTATGAATTTTTGATCTCAGCGCCGCCTACCCCATTGCAAGCCCAGTCTACTGTTAAAATTCGACCACTCGTCCTTCGATAGCCTCTAGCCAATTCTTCCGCATTTTGTGAGGCTTTCATATAGAAACATGAATTTAAACTCATAGCCCCGTCCACCTCAGTGTAGGCCCCGCCCACTAATAGAATTTGGTTACCTTTAAATCGATAACTTCAGAACACTTTTCCGGATTCCAAAAAGGTTGTTGAACCAAGCTATAAATTTTTGTAACCCTACATTCAACAGCATGCTACGCCAACCTGGACGCAGCTTCAGTGAATTTCCGCATGAATAGCACGCTTTAGACACTGCTGGTTTCTGAATGGATTCATAACTTGACTGCTACAAAAGGTTCGAAGGCCAGAAGGAATGAAGTTGCTCTTTTTCTGGCCTTCGGACCTCCTAAAACAACCAAGTTACGAATTCATTTATAAAGTACTGGTTCAGGAGTCCCTTCAGCCTAATTGGTTAACCCACTTCTGAGCTTTGCTTTTTTTCCAGTGTCTGGGCTTTTCTAAAACACAAGATTTACTTTTGCCTTACGCGCAGGTTATACAGTGCATGCTGTGCCCTTTGTAGGCGGAATTCCGCTAAGCGCTTATAAGCTCTTGGGATTTTCTTCAGGCAACACCTAATTTTGAGGCAGACAAAAGACTTACAAACAGAAAGACGGATAGGCAAACACAGGAAAGTTGGCATAAGAGGGCACGAACAAAACGCACGAAGTGTGTCAGTGAGTGTGTGTGTGTTTCGTTGGAAATCAACAGCCCCTGTTTTTTTCGAGCCAGAGATTCTAAAATTGGGAGAGTGCAGGCAGCGGGTAACTTTAGGAAGAGAGCTCGGTGTTAGCCGGATGATCCGACTGGTCGACTATATGTTGTAGAAGGATCTTGTCTGAACCATTGCTATAAAATCTCTAGGCTCATACAACCTTCTAATTTTTATCTGTTGCAGACGAATTTTAGGAACAAGGCTTAGGGAATCATCTGCACAGCTGTGTGAGTATGGCAGGAAGAGAACCGGACACTTGGTGTAAATATGCAACGATTTAGTTCCAAATGTAGTCAGGTTTGATAGAAAAATTAATCTCATCGTTCTATTCACTCACCATCCTCTTCCTTCTGCTTGCGTTTCAATTCTTTATTCACTTCTTCTTGTGATAAATCCGTTTTTGGATCGAAAACAACCACCTAGAAACCTTTTTTTTTCGCAATTTGTTCTTAAGTTTTGATTTTTTCAGAATCATGATTCCCTTCTACGAAGAATATGAAACAGATTTAAGTGGGGTTTGGCAGGGATAGCAGAGTGATTAAGAGTGAGGGCTCGTGTCTGTAGCAGAAGAGCGCGAGATTGTTCCCTGCCGAGAAAAGAAGAACTCCTTGCAAAAAATTGCATAAATGGTGACGATACCTTCGTCATGGTCAGGTTGATGAGTGGGTTGACGGAGAGACCTTATTACAGAGCCATTCCAAAAGTCGCTGAAGAGATCAGTACAGAAGGCTAAAGCGTCCCTTGAAGTGACGCACAAGAGCCGCCCGAGTTCGGTGGACAGCAAGCTACTAAGAAGGGATCGACCTCAGCCAAGAAGTTTGTCCAAGATGGCACTCTGAACGTGGGACCACCTTCTAGGAGCTCTCGAGAGGTAGTTAATCTAATGCAGCGCAGGAACATTCACGCCCTACGCTTTCCGGAGACACGCTGGAAAGGTGCAAAGGCCAGAGACATCGGAGAANTTATCAAACTCTACGACAAAGGAGAAGACATCAAACGAATTGGGTTGGGTGTAGCGGCGCCTCCCAAGACTTCGTCTCAACAGAATCAGCGGTCAAATCATGACTGTGAAGGAAAGAGGTATACTGTACAATAATTTCCGTTTACACACCAAATGCCCCCTCCATCGGAAAAATATGATTTTAGTTAAACCTTGATGCCAGATCAGTTTCGGGGTATCTCACCACAGTGAGTGATCTGATTCACGTCGACAAAAGGTGGAGAGACCTAGAAAGGGCTCACGAAGGTAGAGGAATACGAGACAGAAACGAAGAAGGGCAGGGCCCTGACCACCTCGGGTCGCGATCGAGCAGTCTGCACATCTTCCAGCAAAGGAACCTTCCCCGATCTAAAAAAAGCATTAGACCACCTTCCACAGTAGTCTGAAGATGCTTCAAAACGAAACGTCCTCAAACAGCTGACCTTTACGATGATGATCACGCGCACTCCACACGCTGAATGTGAAAAAGGCAAAGATCTTCAGCTAGGGGGACGGCGCGGAGTGAAACCTAGATCGCGTTGGAGAGGTCGAAATCGAAATAGCGCAGGAATTTTGGTACATCGGGCTAAAAAGGCTCGAATAAACGCGCATAGATGAATTGGATTTAGTCCACTGGTATCCTCTGCGATAAATGGTGCTCCAATGCTCAAAGGAAAAATATACCGAACAGCCATGAGGTCCTCGATGCTTCGGCAGCGAGAGCTTCATCATGAATGGAAATCACGAAAGACAACTTCTCCGCTGAAATGAAGATGCTCAGATAGACAGTGCATTTGGACGTGACTGTGATAAGGCTCTCGTGAAATTCGAGACTCACAGTAATCTAGAACAAGTAACCCCGAAGCAGAGATGGCGAGAGGTGATAAAGAAGAAATACCTCGGAGCTAAACTAACGGTAGAAAATGCGTTTGATGGAGGGAAGTTATGGTAGACGACAAGTCGTGTAACAGACACAAGCGCTCTACTATTGAAATTTTACATTTCCTTGAATTTAAGAAAAACTAACAAATTCATCTATAAAGTAGCTCTCATAACCGACCTACATAAATAGAGCCTTTGCTCAGCAAGAATGTCTAATTTTCAGCGCCGGAGAAGTTGACAAGATCCCCTAAACAAACAATGAACGGCCAAGAGTAGCAGAGGATAAATAAGCTGACATAGTGAATATTACGCGATTTTGAAGAAATTCGAACATTCTCGTAACTGAATGTTAAATTATATATCAATAATTTCACCCCAATGTTTAGGTCAACTAAAAGGAAAGATAACTCACTTCTGGTCGGTCCTCCTCTTTCATTCTGAGCAGTTCCGTCTGCGCATCATCAAACTCTGATGGGCCTTCATCTTCAAACTGAAAGGAAAGGGTAAGTACGTGTCCCTACATATTTCACTGCGGTCATAGAATTTTTTTTTTGTGAGCTAAGAAATATCATCGAAAATGCAACACTGATAAAGATGAACATTATCTTTTTCCTTTACTCGTTTCTTTACACAGAATGCATATTCATTTTAATAGTGAGATGCACAAATCTTTAATGATCTAATGTGCAGTAAAGGCTTTCGCTCAAACACGATGACACCGTAAATTCCTATGAATTCTTCAAAAACAAAATAAAGCTAATCCGTGCGTTTCTGTTAGAGAGAAGAAATCGTTTCCATGGCAAACCTGCATTCTAACGGGGTTGCAGCCATGTAACGCAAAAGTTTGAAGCGCGGTTCGAAGGTTATTGACAGTTTCAGCGAAGCATTCAAAAATTTTCAACCTCAGTCTTTTGAGCTTTGACGTTAGCGGTTAATCGTTACTGTTTTACGAAAGAAAAATCCATAGCGCCCTAAGATCACGTGATGCAGAAAGAACACGAGAAAGGAAAAGAAAAAGAACATTACCATTGATCTTCGCGACACTGCTTTAGTAAGAGACTAGAGATGCGCAAATGCTACAATAAATTGCCAACAAGAGTAGGGGTATTATTAAGCAGTAGAGGTGAAAAACGCTAATATCAACGTGTATATATGCGTGTGTGTATGTGTGTGCACATGTGTATATGTATGCGTATGTATGGCAGGTATTCCTCTGGTAAGAAACTTCCCCCTTCTAGAACCAATGCCATCCATTTATGGATACAGTTTTTCGCAATTTTTCATGCACCATACCATTTTGAAATCCTGACTTGATNTTGTTGTTTCATCATAGTGCTTCATGAATACCCGTGATCCATGAAAAGTTTAAAAAAAGGTGAAAATTCTCAATATTTGTCGCATGAATGCGCTTGGTTGGTAAGGAATTTCGGTAATGGTGGAAAAAGAAATAAAGAAATTATAAAATTAAGTAATCTTTGTTAGTAACGAAACTCAAATGTTTTCACATATAGATGCACAAGTTAGGTTAGCTGACGGAAATTTTACCCTCCCACTAATTCAACTTCCGTCCACAGCTCAGTTCATATAAAAAATCCACGTGAAATAAAGTGAGAAGAACTCACTTTATCCTCCAGTTTAGGTGGTTCTTTGAAACCCATTTTCTTCTTCATTTCCTTGATGAATGGGGGATCATCCTGCTCTATGAATGCTATTCCGGACTTCTGCTTATAAGTCAACGGTTTCTGTGCCATCTGAAACACAGTGAAAGATAACACAGTAGTAGAAAAAAAAGACAGAAAACGAATACGGACAGACGAAAAAATTTTGCAACCGAAATGGCTTTGCTTTGTAAACCCATATTGGCCAACAATATTTAACAATTCAAACGCTGCGCTTTTTAGACCCAATCCGATGAAGGAACTAGGAAGAAGGGATACAGACTCTCCTTCTGATCAGTATAGAACATTGATCCTTCTGATCTTACATACGCTCCTATCATGAACACTAAACCCCCTAGGTTTCCTTTTCTGAACATGCTACATCTTTCCGAGAAATACTGCGGGTTGCCCGGCCACTACTACCTGAGCTCTAAGCGGAAGACAGCGGCAATAGTGCCCACTTACGGAACCACTCCATTCCTTGAAATTTTTTTCTGTGGTCAAGAAAATCTTTTGTTGTTTATCTTACCGCATTCTATGACATTTCTTATGATTGAGTTGATTCGGTTTCCAATTAAATAACGCAAGATCTCCACGATTTGGGACTATTTATTTGCTTTCGCTGCCTACTGATATAACCGGATGCTTTAAATACAGCGGGTCATAATTTCCGATGAAAAGGTAATACCAAATTCCACGATAATAGTAACTTGCAGTTTTTTTTCGTGAATGGATTGATTTATAAGTTATATCGAACACTGAACTTGGAGACACCAGCAAAAAAAGCTTGTAAATCAATGAATAGTAAATGAAATAGTAATAAAAATAACCAGTAAGCAGGAAATAAAAAACTTTAGAAGTAAAAAGAAAAGTACTCTTTAGCGTCACATGCATGGCTCGTTTTTATTTTACTACAGAACTAATATCAAAAGGGAACAATCTTTAGGACAAATTTTTACAAGTGGAAAAGAAAATTTATTGCTTCGAGAACACAGCCTATCTTACCTACAGTAATGCAACCGAAAGAACTATACACTAACCGAACCATCTGACTAGAATTCCTTTTCGATTTTCACGACAAAAGGTAAAATAACAAAGAAAAGCTAAATTTGGATACATATATGTGGATAAAACGCGGGTCACAACAAGGTNGGAGAAGCGGTCTGTCGACCAGCGAAACGAGGGCGTGTCCGTTGTCGGTACTCTCCTCCGGGGCCCTCGTAAAAGATGGTCATGGTGTGCGAGCTGAGGATAGACTAGTGAGGGTCATTTGATTGATAGTCGGAGAGAGGAATTGGGAATGAGGGGCACGTGTGATGTGTAGTTCGTTCGGGGATGTTAATGGCTGGCCAGTTTCTGAACCACTGAATTGCCAAAGTAACTATGTATGTGGTACTGCAGGAAATGCAGTTTTTCTGTATTCCAAGTGTCGAGTCCTCGCTTCGCTGCCGCCTCATCATGGGCGCCGCCATCAATCTCTTACGCAACGTCGCACAAGACCGATATAAAAGTGGCTGGTTCAAGACAGCAGAGTCGACTTGCTCTTCTCCGTCGCCGTGGAACATCACCCTGGCCGTATGGCCTCCTCGTCCTGACCCTTTCCCCTTGTTCTATTTGTAATGTTATATTAGTAATAAATAAATATGTATAAGCAAGACTAGTGTATAACAGAAGAACTCTCGTTCCCGCTACACCATCAGATATAGGCATAGCTAACCTATAATCTGATGTGGAGGTCCCGGAATGGGAGGAAGAAGGCTCCGAAAACAGTACAGAACGAGATGGCGACGGTGAAGGCACGTATTTCGATGATGATGAGAAGGTGAGCCATATGTTTATCCCTTCATTNATTGTAATAATCTTTCAGTAACTTTTTGGTAAAAAAATTTTATTACTCCTTTCTTTTCAGAAAACATGTACAGTGCGTGGAAATAGTGCCACCCACCGTGAATATGTGCGAAACATTATGATAGCCGCCATGGTGAGTCAGATGAAGACGATCCATGGAAAGCGGAATGCGGCCCTCTGCGTGAATGAAGGTATGCAGGACTTAGAGAAGACGCGCCAGCGTCTACACTAGCAGCACGCGTATATGATGTATTTGTGGAGGGTATGTGGTTTTATTTCATTGTTAAGATTTGAACGAAGTATTTATTGTCTCCTTTTTCAGGAGTTGAATCCCAGAAAGCAGCAGCTCAAGTACGTCAACTTTGGGCTGCTGCATGGCGAAGCGACGCCATCAACCTAGCGGAAATCTAGGTGTTCCAGCCGTTCCAAATCCACGATTTATCGTCTTCAATGCGATGTATCCACCGGCATAATCTTCGCCGTTTTTCCCTCCTTTCGACTTAACATTCTTATTGCAACGTTCGTTTATGGCACAAATGTCATATTATGCATCTCATCTTTTTTATGTAGCTTCATGCTTTATGAGAATGCCTGTGCCACAATGGAACCACAATCGAAGCTCGAGGACGAGCTTACTGTAAGGAATGGAGATGTCGAGTCCTCGTTTCGCTGCCGCGTCTCTTACGCAACGTCGCACAAGACCGATGTAAAAGTGGCTGGTTCGAGACAGCCGGGTCGACTTGCTCTTCTCCGTTGCCGTGGAACATCGCCCTGGCAGTA